AGAGAGAGAGGAAGAGAGAGAGAGAGAGAGGAAGAGAGAGAGAGAGAGAGAAAGAGAGAGAGAGAGAGAGAGAGAGAAAAAGAAAAAGAGAAAGAGAAAGAGAAAGAGAAAGAAAAAGAGAAAGAGAAAGAGAAAGAGAAAGAGAAAGAGAAAGAGAAAGAGAGAGAGAGAGAGAGAGAGAGAGGGAAGACAGGGAAGACAGGGAAACGCGCGCACGCGCCCACTCCTAGACACGCGCGCGCGTGCACGCGCGCGCCCTGCGCCCGCGCTGCGGGAGAAAGGCTGCTGCCACGCTGCGGCGCGGCCCAAATGGGGAACTTCGCGCGCGCCCCCGCAGGTCGCGAGCTCCCGCGCGAACGCGATCGCACGCGCGATCCGCCCACCCCCTGCGCCGCAAACGACGGCGCGCAGGGCCGAAAGCCCGGGCGCCGTCTCGGACGATCGCGCTGCCGCGCCACGGCCGGCGGGAAGAGCGGCGTCGGGGGCCCCCCGGGACTCCCGCGCAGGATCTCCACGACAGAGAGAGAACGTTCGAGAACACGCTGACCACGCACCACGCGCACAGCATGCCCGAGCGCCCCGGGCGCCGGCACCGCCCTCGCGCGCAGGGCGGGGGAGAGCCCTGCAAGGGTTGCGCGGGAGCTCTCTGACACGCGGGTTGCGGGCGGCGGCGGCGGCAAGCACTCGCCGCCCCCTTTGCCAGCACGCGCACAGGGCCACGAAGTGCCACGCGCGTCTCCTCGGCGCGCTTGGACCCAGACCAAGCTGGCCGCGCGGCGCGGACTGCGAGCACCAGGTTTCGCCGAGGCCGCCCCCGCGAACAGCGCGCGGCCGCAAGCTACGACGCCAGCCTCTACTGGACGGGCGTCGACCGCACAGATGGGGCGCCCACGTTAGCTGCTCCGATGGACGCCATCACGGCTTCGACCACAGCACGCGCTGCAGCTCTGAACGGCGAGCTAGCTTCACCTGGTGGCAGCCGGAGTTGTCCGAGGTTCGCGCCGCCGACTCTGGGCCGTCCAAACACGCGGCGCTGCGGTCGCTGCGTCTGCAGTCACGCGCATCGCCAGGTAGGCGCCCACGCTGAAAACGGCAAAAAGGGCAGCCCACTTTTCCCGGAACACCTGCTTCTCACCGTTCCCGAACCGGAAGACCGCGAACTGCTCTTCCTCCTCGATGCATTCGTCGATCCCCAGCTCCCAACGGCGATCCTCGATACCCATCGCGCGCGCCTCGCCGGAGACCAAACAAGCGCAGGCCGCGCCCGGCGCCCCGTCGCCCCCCTGTCCGCCGATGGACACTGACCAACAGCAAGACCCCCTACGGCGGCCCAGCTGGACCAGCGCGCGAGTCAGCTTCCTCGGCCGCGACCGCGGCGACCAAGGCCACGAACGCGTCGGCCTTCAGCGCGTCGCCGCGCCCTGGGGGTCCAGCAGGTCGACCAGGCACGCGCCCCTTGGCTTGACCCGCTGCTTCGACTTCCTCTCCGCCTGCTCACCCCTTCCACTCTTTCAGCTTCGGGCAGCGCGCTTCTCCGGCCCAATGGCCAGTCTCTCCGCGGGCTCGGCAGTGCATATTCGACTTCTCGTTTTAATTGTCCTTGCCGCCCGCGCCGATCTTGTCAGACAAACTCCTTCCCGCTGCTAGAGCTCGCGCTGCTGGAGTCGCCCCTGCCGAATTCCTGATCTTTGCGAAGCTCCTTCATTCGCTTCTTGCTCTCGCGCACCTTGATGGTACCCTCCATCATCGACTCTCCGCCAGTCTCTAGGTTGCTGAGATCTTGCGCCAGCTCAGGGTCGTCCTCAGCATCCTCGACGAGCGTCGACAACGCTTCCATCTCTGCCGAAAGCAGTCCCTCGATATCTCCGTCCGCCTCGGTGGTCAAAACCTCCTCGAAAGACGCGTCGCCCTCGTTGTCGCCACCGCAGCGTCGTAGCCGTCGAGCCCTGCCGCCAGGGCATCGCGCTCGCCTTCGTCGAGATGACTGATGCCGTCGAGTTCCTCGGTCACGATGGCCTCCATGAACTCCCGGATGGCGCTTCTCATTAGCAAGACCTTCCCTGACATTGTGTAGGTATTCACTCTGTTGCGGCCGTACGTTGCGCGGCGCCCCCCTGGCAAGTACATGTTGGGACACACTCGCAGCATGGCTGGCACCACGTCTTCTAGCGCCACGCTGCCGCCAGTCGAGGTCATTAGCATGCTCTTCTGTGCGACTGTCAGGCTCGTCATTTCTATCAGCCACCAGCCCGCGGTCCTCGGAAGCAGCGCCACGTCTTCCTCGTCTACCTGGCCGCAAGCCTCACCCAACCCGATCACCCACGCTGTAAAATCCTCCCCTGGACTACGGTGCAACTCCTTGTTGAAGTATGTCATCACTTGGCCGCGCCGTGTCGATTCGTCCACGCCCATGGTCGCGAACACCTCCATCAGCATGCTGATGCCGGGCATGGCGTCGCGCTCCTCACAGGTGGCCTGGTTCCTCGTCGTACTCGTTTTCGTCGGCGCCTCTGTCCTCGCGAGGGTCTGCCACTCACGTCCACGACTTGGCGCGCAACTCGACCATCAGGATGGAGCCGCCAACAACTTCGCCAGGCCCGTCAAGGAACGCACCATCCTGGCAGCCCAGCAGGTCCACGATACGTCCAGGCTGACGCCCTCGATCCACAGAGCCAGGTCCCTCTTGTACCTCCCACCACGCGACGCCGAGGCGCCCCAGCTCGGGATGCCCCTTTTAGGTCCATACTGAAGTGGGCACCTCCTGCAAACGCATGGGTGCTTGTCGAGCGCCTGCTAACGCAGAGTTGTTCGTCGAGCGCCTCCACCACTCGCCGCCGCCGCCGAAGGATGAGCCTCCCCTCGGAGGCAGCACGTGGATGCCGCCGCCCATCGCTGGCATTCTGCCGTTGTGCGCTGCTGCAGCTCTCGCGGGCTGCGCCATCGCACTCGTCGCAGCACTCGTCCGTGATCACGTCCTTCTTGTTGCCGTTGTCCAACACTCGCCTGGTGTCATACTCGAGCCACTCGTAGATCTGCTTTTTGCGATGGCGCGCCTGCGACGCTCCGCTACCACTGCGGAACCGGGAAGCTTCCACGGCCTTGCTGTCCTGGCCCCCAGCGGAGGAACGGCGGCGGACCCCGGCAGGGGTCAAGAGAAGGGCGCCTTTTCTCCCAGGCCTCCGCTGCCAGTGGCCAGCCTTCTCAAACCGGTTGGAGCCGAGCCGACAGTAGCAAGCGAGCGAGAGGAGAGAGAGATAGAGAGAGAGAGAGAGAGAGAAAGCGTGGGGGAGAGAGGGAATACGGGTATTTAGGGGCAGGGGACAAATCCAATGAGAGCCGTATTTTTGCGACAATTTCCGCCCGGTCGGCAAAGAAATGTCATAAGGATACGCTCTGGACTCCTCTTCTACTCGTTCCTTCCTCTTTCGTCCAGTGCGTACCCCAGAACTTCACTTGAGAAGCGCCGCGCGCGTCCCTGCCGCAGGGCGGCGTGCGGGAGGGTGGGTTGCTGCCACGCTGCGGTGTGGATCAAAGGCGAAAAACTGCGCGCGCTCCCGCACGCGTCACTGCCGCGGACCCGCTGCTGGGTCTGTCCGAAGCTCCTGCCTGGCCCACCCCCCCTCAGGGGGGGAACCATCTGTACTCCGGCGATGGTGTGCGGTCCTGCGGAGGAGTGGCCCGCTCAACAACACCGAACACCTGCGCCTCCTCCCCCGACAGGAGGTCGGCTGGGGGCGTGCCGGAGCGCCCTGGCGCCGTCCGAGGAGCGCGGGGCGAGCGGGCAGCGCCGCGCTGGGCGCGCGCTGGCGCCCGGCACGCCGCGCCGCCAGACGTACTCGGAGGTGTCTCGAGCGGCCAGCAGAGAGGCTGCCGATCCGGCACCTTCGCCGAAGGCCCCGCGCCGCCGCCGCTGAAGTATCCAGGGGGCCACTGGGGGGCTTCCTGCTCGCACCAGCCTGGAACTTGTCCCCATCCTTATGACATTAGCATCACCTGGTCTCGATACGCCGATCTCTAGGACTCTCTCAGCTTCTGAGGGCGCATACCTGACATTGCCATCGCCTCTGGACTCGTCACTGGGGAACCCAAAAAAGTAACCAAACCGCTACTCCCCGGACCTCTCCACAAGGCGCGTTCTGACTAGAATTCCGACGCGAATCCAGCGGTAGCGACGAGGGCCTCCCAGGAGGCCCAGAAAGGCGGAAACGAACTGAGGCTAGTGGTATAAAAGAACCTTGTCCTCCTCCGATGCCAATCGTAGGAATGAGGGTAAGCTCGAGGCTGGTCATGGTCCGGCGGTTCCATGGCTGACCCCGCGTCGCTCCCGCCGAAGCGGCCCGGAGGCCGCCCGGCGTACTCCTGGAGGGGTTCGGGCTGCAGGGCTGGCCTTGCACCGCCCTCGCCGAAGCGGCCGGGGGGGCGCCGTTGCGGCTGCGGCTCCCCGCTGCTGAAGCGACCGGGGGGCCGCTGGAGCTGCTGGGGCTGGCTGCCGTCGAAGCAGCCCGGGGGCCGCTGATAGAGGAAGGAAGAACGGCATAGGCATAAACTTTAGACGGTCCCCGCGGATTTCTTGAATCTGCGCCCGACCCCCCACGATGAGCATCATGGGCCGTTTTCTTCGAATATTGAAAAGTATATCCCTAACTGGGTGGGTGAGATGGTGGGGTCTGGATGGGCATACGTAGGTGGGGATGGGGAGAAGGGGTCGTCGAAACAATACTGACAGGAGCGGCGCCTCCGGCGCCGCTCCTGGCGCCCTCCGCGCACCATGGAGGGGGACCCTGCGCAGATCCAAGAAATCCGCGAAGGCCGTCGAAAGTTCATGTTCGCGCCGCTCTTTCTTCTTCGAGATGCAGCGGCTGTGGCTGCCGCTGCTGCTCAGCGGGCGCCCGCAGCTGCGCGGCAGCTGGTGGCCCGGGATGGGCGCCTGGGCTGGGGCCACGCCGCAGTCGCAGGCCCAGCTTCCCAGAGAGTTCGTGAAGGGCCGCTTCGAGCTCATCGAACCTGAAATACGCAGGAGGCACCCATACACAACCTTCCCATGCCTGGCCAGGCGTCCCAGACATGCTCACGCAGTTTGAACGAAGTGTTCCAAAAAATGAAATAATTCTTTGGATAAACGATGAGTGGAACAGGATGAGGATGGAGGAGAAAAGGGCGCATTTTTCTCTTATACCACCGACAATTGTGCGCTGGCAGCGCCGCCAGCACAGGCACAAAGGGCGGCGGTGTCGTGGGCCGAAACAGCAGCGAAAGCAGGCAAGTATACGTCCCCACCCTGGGACGCACCCTCAGAGTCGATGGGGGGGAAGGAAGCCTGCCCGCTGCTGCTTTACATTGGCTCAAAGCTGCCGCGAAGGAACAGGCAACCCCCGAACACGTCAGCCACAGTTGCAGCGAAGCAAACGCCAAGAGAAGCGAGAGCGAGGAAAACCGGGTCGTGCTTCCAAGACCAGGTGATCACAGAAGAAGTAAACTGAGCAAATACAGTTTCTAATCGGCCAGCCCGAATGCAACCCAGAAAGCTCCGGAAAGCGCCGATGGGGCTGATCCCGCATCGGCAGAATGATTACTAGCCTCGTGCATCCACCCAGCTAAAGCCAAGCAGAGAGACAACTTCTCGGCAGAAAGGCATATAATACGAGACCTATGTTGTATCACAGCAGCAATTCGGCCCCTGACTTTCGTCCTGGGTTCGGCTTAGTGAAGTGATGAAGTTCGGGGTCCTTACGTGGGAAAAAGCATCACTTCACTAATCTGGGGCCCCTGGGGCCTCAGTGGGCCCTGGGGCCCAAAATTAATGACGCCATGCTGTTCGGGCCTCGGATATAACTACCCGGCAAAAAACTGGCTGCAGGGGCGGGGAGACACGCTCACTACCTGGTCGTCGTGTCCACAACGTAAAACACGTGAGAGGAGCGCAGGCACGCGCTCGCGCTGGGCCGTCGCGGCCCCGCGACAGAACTTAGTGGACCAAGAAAAAAGGCCCCCCATCCCATGCAACTGTTGGCCGCGGCTGAACAATCTAAAGCGTTGGACAACAGCGGCGCCGCGCAACGGCAGTCGGAACTTTATGGCAGCATGCTGCGCATGTCTTAACTTCGCGCGCGTAGCTCTGGTCTCCACCCATGACTTGCAGCAACAAGTCCCAATCGATAGTGCCTGCGACATGACCGTCCGACGTCGCGTCGCAGGCATCACCCCATTGCACGTTCCCAAGAATACCGAGTTCCAAATACGCTCTGATCCGGCTCGCACGGCCCCTCAACGTTTTCTCGGAAGGTGTTTTCAAATCCTCCCTGGCGCGAGACACGAACAGGAATTCGGCGTCGATCGCGAGAGGCATTTCGATGCGGAGCCCACCTTGTTCGCGAAAGTGTCTGGGCCCCGACGGGGTCGAAGGGCCCTCGATGGGCCCATGTAGCGGCCCTGAGGCACGGCAGCATTCATCCACGCGGCGAGCTGCAGCCGGTGCTTCGGCAGCGTAGCAGGATCGAACCTGGGGGCGATGAGACTTGCAAAAGCTCTCGACGCAATGGGCGACCTCGCCCCGGCTGTTCGCGAGTCCACGACGCGGCAGGCCGCGCCCTCAAAGTCCGCAGCCTTTTGTCTGATCGCCCCCATCTCCAGTGATCTGTCGGTAGCCCGCATCGCTGCGTATATCAACATTGTAATCAGGCGTCATAGCCCCGGTAAGTGAACTTCCTGGGGTGTTGCGGCAACTTGCGCGCGGGGGCGCTGGGTCGTCTCCCCAGAAGGGGCTTTGGTTGTTGCGTGCGTTGAAATGACGCGATGTATACAATGACCCAGAATGTGGTGCATGGTGCATGAATGTGCTGCTGACTGACAAACACATCGCTGACGGCAATGCTCGCTGGTGCGTTTGGTGAAGCTCCGACGATATCGTGATGTACGATCGGACGTAACTGTTTGACATAATCGTATTGGTCCAGGATCGCTTCGCCTTCCGCGGTCTCGCGCACCTTACCTCGCGGCGGTCGCACGCGTGCTGACTCCGCTTGCATGTGACAAGCACTTGTTCTACCTTGTGCACGTCGGAGTCAGTGCGTTCCTTCGGACCGCACATGCTGACGTCGCCCAAGTGTTCGGCAAAAGGTACGTCGGGCGCGACCTCAAAGTCTGAGTCGCATGACATCGACTCATGGCCGATGATCTCGGTCGTCCGTTCGAGCTCCAAGGAAAATGCTCGCGGCGCGTCTCTGTCTCCAAAGTCTGGCTCCAGACACTCAATGCAAGCGTCGGGCCTCGTCGTAGACTGCGAACCCGGGCAGCGCGCGTAGGACCGCAGCGCCCGCGCGAGGTGGCGCGAATCACCCGGGTTGCTCCTGCCCTCCTGCGGCCTCGGCAAGTCCCTCATAGATGTCAATCATTCAAGGCACGCCACGCCCTCATCCAGGCCTGCCATGATCCAGTCTTCGCGGCAAGCAGCCGCATTCGCCAGCAGTCGCTGCGAGGGGCGCTGGGATGTCCCAGAAAAGGCGCATTTAAAAAGACTGTCGGCGTCGAAGTCGCGGTCGCTGTCTGTAAGTCATTCACCGCCGCGTTGCTGGCCATGGCGCTATGAAACGACGGCTGGTAAGGGAACAGCACATCTCGTTAGATATGCTCACCACGGCTGGCAGTTCCCACCTAACGGCGATGGCCAGCACGAGAGGAGTAGGGACAACGTAGAGAAAACTGAAATTATTATGTCACCGCGTACGCTTCGATGCACTGACGGCCAGAGTTGGCCAGCTCTTGATACCAGCCATCACCAGCATCGCGCCCTCCTCCTGCTCGCCGTCACCTTCTTCGGTGGCGGAGAGCGGGCCAGCGTCTCTCGCGGATTCCATAGGCGTCGATCGAAGGGAGGTTCGTGTTTCCACGTTCACCACTCGCCCGAGAACCGTCGGCCATGTCGGGGAAACTCGAGAGGCCCTCGCCGAAGGTGTGCGTAGGTCTGGATGAGACCAAGCACTGTATCAATCGAGCATGACTGCTGCGTGTAAAGACGGTATGTTAAGCGACGCGTTAGTTGATTCGTAAAATGGAGAGCCAGGTCGGACATCGCTGTCGTAGTAGATCAGTGCAATGGGGTCAGCACCAGGGAAAAGGCGGTACAGTGTGCACGATTTTAGCCAACCTGACAGCAATGGCACTATCAATCCTGAACTTGGCCCTGACGATACACTGCAATGCCATGTGTATGTTGGGAGCCCCAACTTTCTTCCAAGCGATAAGCGGCACACCCTCTTGTGGCCAGGAACATACATAAACACAACGGTCAGGAGCCGCTCCCGCTGGGAGCGCAGACATGCAGGAGATGATGGTACGCAAAGCCAAGTTGCCCATACCAAATTCTCGCACCATGAACACCTCGATGAAGAGGGTCATCCTCGCCTCAGAAAACTGAACCACAATATGTATGTTTCCAAATGTGGCTACAAGTTGGCCACGTTCCTCATTGACTTCACGGACCCTGCAGGGACCCCTCCATTCACCATGGTCCTCCATAAGTGTAGCACGTCGATGGTAGTCAATCATGCCCCCCACACGAAATACTCTGCCCCCATCGGCGCTGGTCTTCGCGCGGAGGGCTCCGTGCACCTTGGCCGCCGCAGTGGGTTGTATGACTGCCGCCAAAGTGGTCTCACGAAGACGACGTTCTCCTGTCGGGCCAGCGCATGCGTTGCATGGGGAAAGACCGTCGCAGAGGTAAACGCATTGCATGCAAATAAAGCTTCGGCCAGAAGCCGATGGAAAGCAAGAGGGGGACCATGCCTCTTGAGATATTCTTCCATGGTGTGCATGACTCCTCGGAGTATTGCGCTTCGGGCTTCAATCGCTATGGCATGCTGCCCTGGAGCTCGGATACGGAGTTATGTTCCAAGGGCTTTCAACTGACGTATGGCTTCATCACTGCTTAGTCCACCTTCATTATCACAGTATATCATCTTGGCTGCGCGAGTATATTTAACCAAATAACTGCAGTAAGCAGATAATGGAGAGCCCTTGCTCTTGCCAAGAAGAATGCACCCGCTAGCGTACCTGATGCACCGATCAATGATGCGAGAAGCGACGTGCCGCTCGTAGAAAAATCAGCGGCGCTCGACCTTCTCATTGAAACGCCACGGTTAAGGACGGCAGGGTGGAGGTGCCGGGTCGTTCCCAAGCCCGGCACTCTTGACATGCGTCAACAATAGGCTTTGTCATGTTGAGTCCGGCGCAGGCCTACTCTGGGAGGGCGAAGTATATCCGGCAAGGCGTTTCGCTGGAACAATGCAAGAATGCACGCGCCACATATATGCGGATCTGCACTTTTCAAAGTGCCAGCGCGGGCAGGCTGTCTACGGCAGGGCGAGGTAGGACGAAGGTGAAGCGCGCTGCACTGCGAGCGGAATCCCACAGACACGTCGGGAAAAGTCGCGGGGCACGGCACCCCGCGCGAAGCGGCTCTGAAAAGACGGGCGGGCCCTGACAGCGCAGGCCCGAAAACCGCCTTCAAAACATCCACCAATGAGGTGCGAAACCTGCCCCGGCGGATTGGTGTATATTGTTAGCCAAATGTTGCAAGGAAAACACACCAGAAAAATATGCACCAATCGAAAATGCATTGGAAATTACTGCCGATCCCAAAAAAAAACAGAATCGACAGAGACCTCCGCCTGGAGGAGGAGGGGCAGGACCGCGGGCACCAATGCTGATACAAGCGGGGACACAACTTGCGAGGATCGGAGGCGACGACAGCGTCGCAGAAACACTCTGCACCAACGTCGCGACAGTGGACCACATACCACATCGCACACCCGGGCTGCAACTCGACGCCCCTGTAAGCTCCCAAAAATCACAATGGTCCGCCGAATGAATCACCTGATATATTGCGTGCTCCGATACTCGCTGAAGAATATGACGCTTTTCCGGCTCCGTGGCGTGAAAAGGCCGAAAGTGGAGCTTCCTCAATCCCTTGTTGCCGATGGCTAGATCCGCACTCCTGAAAGCCTCGA